CGAGAGAGCGAGAGAGCGAGAGAGCGAGAGAGCGAGAGAGCGAGAGAGCGAGAGAGAGAGAGAGAGAGAGAGAGAGAGAGAGAGAGCTAGAAGAGTATGTCGTGAGAATTTTTAGCGTATATCTATAAGCGTATATATATGTATATAAGCGAGCTATAGCGGTAATACATTGCGTGTGTTGGCTTGGCGTGTTGCAGGGAGATTTGATGGGCCGCGGAGACCTGGATGCAGTGGAGACCCTTCTCTCTATCAGCAAGTATTCTCCGAAGAGGCTACCAGAGGCACAGCCAGCAATAGTATTTCAATTGCCCGCCATGGTAAGTGAATGCACTATATAGACCTCTATAGCCCTTCCGCAGAGCGAAATTATGGGGGCTTAGTATAGTTCTAGAGCTACCGTGTGCAGGGCTTGAATTTCACCGCCGAGGGAAGAAGGTGTAGATAACTTGAGTTGGGTTACATTATTGGGTCCGATCCTAGTTTAGCACCCCCAATTATTTTAGCACGCTTGCGAACATGAGGGCCGGGTAGAAAGTGTTGGCAACTTGTGTTGGGTCACATCATTGTATCTAGGGACGGTGGTGCATGTGGTTGTTCCTGAAGATTTAATGTCTACGACAATAATTAACCTAGCTGCCAGGGCCCGTAAATCTCCGCCCCGTCCGCATATCAATCTGTCCCTAATAAGCAAAGCTGGCCCAAGGATATAAGAGCTGTCCACATTTGCACATGTCACACATGTATTGCGAAAATGAATTGTGGTCAGCGCTTATATATCCTTGGCCTTATATCATTTATCACAACTGGCCTTGGTAACACTTCTTTCCCAACGAGCCATTTGCCACTCGTGTCTCGTCGCAATCACCATCGTGCCGAAATTCCCGTTGCGCCGAAATTCCTGTCACCGCCGTAATTGATTTCGACTCTTTGATGTCCGTTGCAGAGCAAGGCGTGGATGGATCGCGGCGTTGCCCCGGAGACGCCGCCGCCTTCGACGGCGGACATGAGCCCGCCGTTCTGGATGAGCGAGACAGCGGTGCTGCCTCCTTCGTCGCGCCTCACGCCGCCGCTCGATGTGCCGGCGACGCCGCGCGCACCCGTCGTCCGCTCGCCCCGCGAGAAATTCCAGGTGAGAGAGAGAGAGAAAGAGAGAGAGAGAGAGAGAGGGCGAGAGACAGACAGACAGACAAATGGGAGAGAGAGAGAGAGAGAGAGAGAGAGACAGAGAGAGAGAGAGAGACAGGCAGACAGACAGATGGGGGAGAGAGAGAGAGAGGCGGAGAGAGGACTCTCCGCGGGATGTGATCGGGGGTGGGTGGGTGTTGACGTGGTAAAGAGTGGGTGGGTGGTAAAGGAGTGGGTGGGTGGAGACATGGTAAAGGAGTGGGTGGGTGGTGACGAGTTAAAGGGTTGGAGTGGGTGGGTGCTGACATGCTGAAGGTTTGGGAGGGACGGTGGGGGGGTTAACACGTCCCACGTCCCGGTACACGATCGTTCCCCATTCCTGCGCGCCCGTGGGGATAATACAGTCATCATCCTTTCTCCTCCCGACAACTGTAGATGACATAATGATCAATTATTAATGACCAATACCCACGTCCTATTCCGAGAGAGAAATCCGAGACGCGATTCCCCCAGACGGGCCCTGGGGGGTTCATTTGCTGTCGACGGCAAGGTCGTTTCGTCTGCATAAAAGAAAGGCCGAGATGCCCGCTTTTGCGGAGCGGTGCAACCGCGTGCCGTATTGCATCATCCACCCCGGCTAGGTCCCCGGCCGGCGGTGCAATCTGCGCGCAGCCTCCGCCGCATCACACTTTCGGTCGTTGGGTGAACGCGTGCACATGAGCCTGGGGTATCCGTGATCGGCAGTCATGTTCGGTCGTCCGGGCGATCACGACGCGCTAACGCTCGACTCGCCTTTCTTTCAGGAGCGGTGGCTCGCGTCGAAGCTGGCCGAGAAGGAGCGGATCGCTAGCGCGGAGGCAGAGGCAGAGTCGTCTACGTCGTCATCTCTCGTCGTATCTCCGGCGGAGCGGCGGACGACGCCAGCATGCGACGGTGGCGCCACCGACGGCCGGCTATCGCGCTCGCACCAGTGCAGCGTCATACGCAGGAATGTGTCGCAGGCGACGACGCCCGCAAACAAGAGAGCGTGCGACGTTGCCGTCGGGGAAGCGACCCCCGCGCCCGCCAAGAAGCCGAGGCAGGAAGCGGAGGATGCGGAACTCGGGCGGGAGGCGGTGACCGTGAGCACGCAGACGAACGCCGCCGAAGAGAAGCAGTGGGAAGGCACGACGGACCCCCCTCCGCCCCCGCCGCCGGTCGCCGCGGCAACAATGATGCCGCTGCTCTCGCTCCCCGTGCTCGGCGGGCAGCCGGGCGGTGGCTGCGGTCAGTTCATCATCGCCCAGGTGCCCGCTCTCGGTGGGTCGATACTCCACCCTCAGCTGCTGCAGTTCATCGTGAAGTCGTCGGAGAACGGCGGCGCGCGACCTATTGGTGAGCATTTTTGGCGACGAGATGGCATCGCTCGTTAATTCGGAGGCGGGCGGCTCGCAGTACATGAGCGAGCGAGGGAGGAGAGGGAGGTGCGAGAGGAGGGAGGAGGGGGAGGCGCGAGAGGAGGGAGATGGCTTCGTTCGTTAATTTGGAGACGGGTGGCTCGCGGTACATGAGCGGAGGAGGGGGAAGCGCGAGAGGAGGGAGGAGGCGGAAGTGAGAGAGGAGGGAGGAGGGGGAAGCGCGAGAGGTGGGAGGAGGCGGAAGTGAGAGAGGAGGGAGGAGGGGGAAGTGAGAGAGGATGGAAGAGGAAGACGGCGTTACCCGTCCGCACGCACGCGTGAGAGCATTCGTTAATTCTGCGAGGCGCGTGCGAGCGAAGCGCGGATGTGGGTCATAGTCAGGATTTGTTTAGGCTTTTTAAGAAACGAGTCGAGACAATTCGGTGAAAGAGCGATCGAGTTAGTTAACGGTTTAAGTTTATTGCGGTTGCTAATTGCACGCCATGCTGCTTTTCGTTAAGTCGTCGATTTGCCGCGAATGATTCGTGCTGAAAAGGCGAAGGGCAATATGGGATTTATAACCGTGGATATGTAGTTACAGTATGTACGTATGTATGTATGTAGAAGGCAATATGTGATTTATAATCATGGATATGTATGTATGTAGAAGGCAGTATCTGTAGGACTGTGAGTAAATGTGCGAAAAGTTTATCGTATTTCGTCTTGCAGGAGTGGACAGGCTGCAGCCGACGAGGCCGCTGAGACCGCTGATCCCCGCTACGCAGGCGCCGCAGTGCGCGCCCAACGCCGTGCCGGCGGCGACACCTGCCAGCAGGAACCGCAACTTTTCGTGTCCACATGCAGGCTGTGATAAATCCTACTACAAAAGCTCGCACCTGAAGGCGCACTTCCGCCGACACACGGGTAGGTAGATACACGAAAAACAGAGCGCGGCTGAAACGAGAGCATGTAGCCATTAAACCACCGGTGATGACTGCTTGCTATTAACGAAACCCCCTGCTGTGCGCCGCCGAATATAAATTGGACATCTGCCGATAATTGCAAGACGTCAGCGGTCTCCTTACAAATGTCGTCGAAAAGTATCGAGATATCAAATTGTAATTTAAAAGTATTGAACGGCCTTGCGAATTTGTCGTCCTTGAAATAGCGTCTTGCTTTCTTTTACTTTGTTGTTTTTCTTTTGTTGTTGTTATACTGTTGTTCTTTTACTGTAATTGTTATTTTTTGTTATACTGTTGCTCTTTTACTCTAGTTGTTATTTTTTTGTTATACTGTTGTTCTTTTACTGTAGTTGTGATTTTTTTGTTATGCTGTTTTTTACTGTAGTTGTTATTTATCGGTGTTTTCCTCCTCCTCGTTGCAGGCGAGAAGCCATTTGCCTGCAACTGGCCTGAATGCGGCCGGTGCTTCTCGCGGTCGGACGAGCTGTCGCGACACAGACGCACGCACACGGGCGAGAAGAAATTCTCGTGCGGAGTCTGCGGCCGCAACTTCATGCGCTCCGACCACCTCGCGAAGCACTGCAGGCGCCACCTGGGGAGCGCAAGAGTCGCCGCCACGGTCGGCCCGGCTGGCGGCAACAGTCGGCCGACGGTGCTGGTGAACATCTGACCTGTCACGCTCCCTGGTGCAGAGGTTTAGCGGCTTCGACGCGCTGGTGTATATATTTATTAAGCGGAGCGAGACGCGAGGCATGTACACTTGTAAATATCGGTCTCGTGTTGTTGTGTATATTGTGAATAACGAACGTGCTTTCGCAGTATGGAGTCTCTAGGTGTGTACGTACGCGGCTTGTGAAAGCGGAATATCTGTGTTTAAATTATTATGAACGCATGCTGTCGGAGGTGTCGAACGTTTTTGGTGTCGGTGGTAGTAGGGGCTTTTCGTTTTATGTCCTCTTTGTCTAGTTCCTTTGTCGTGCTGGCGAGCGTGAAATGTGCGCCGGTTTTGTGCGATCTCTTATAGAGTTTTGTTGTCCACCCTGCGACACTTATGTGTCTGAAAGTGCGTGTTCGTGGCGCACGTAGTACCTCCACTGTGTACTCTAATGGGATTAGCCAAAAGCTCAGGATAAATGTGCCGTCTCTCTTCTCTCGTAACATCGGTGCCTACATCTCTCGTCCATCCGTTTTCATTAACAACAGATGTGTTGAAGACCAGTTCTTTTTCTTATCTTTTGTATTCCTTCTCGTGAGTGAAAGTGTGTGACATGAAAGCGAAAGGAGTGACATGAAAGAGTATGACAGGTTTTGCCTTAGCGAAATGGTTCGTCGCAGTTTATTCGCCTGTAGTGAAAAATCTACTACTATCTAGTTAGGTATTTCTTACCGTTCTTCATCGCTAATCCACTGTACTAGTCAATCCTTTTATAACTCAGTAAACCCGATTGTTTTGGAAAGACTAGAAATTTTTGCACGTAATCCAGTGGTGTTCTGTGGCTCGTGAATTGCGCATGCTCGTGCGTTTACTGCGCGTCCCCATCGATTGATCTACTGTTGCATACCCTCGGAAATTCTGGGGTTGGTTGGTTACTGAAATATGTAGGAAATAATGTATGGAGGGCATGGAGCAGTGCAGTATAATATATATTAGCGGCAATTTAAGTTGTGCATTCACAAGCAAAGTTCTGTCGTGAAAAAAGGAAGGCGGCTATATTACGTGTGTGATTATGTTACGAAATGTTATTTTTTTATGTTTATGATATTATACGTGTGCATGAATGAGGAATGCACTACTTGTTAAGTAAGGTTGATGATTTTGCTCTTCTTGGTTAATCGGGATGGTCGTGTTTTTACCAAACTTGGCCTTCAAATGCAAACGTTTTGCAAAATCATAAGCAACCCTATTCTTCAAACTAGCTTTACAATGGTATTGTATTATATACGGAAATGCGTAGAGTCAATATTATAATGCTATTTGGTGATTTTGTAATTATGAACTTCTCTATACGAAAGAAATCGAAATATTTGCGCGTCCAATTGCTAATGAAATATCCGATGGTGTCATTGATTATCAGATAGTGAACTGAATGGTGGTTTTTTACTTCATCTGCATATGATTCAAAGTCCATTTATATCCGTACCGCGCTGTACTGTGTTTCATACGTGCGCCACGTGGAAATTGTGTGTTTTCTGTAATTATGCGAGCGTTTTTTTGCGCGTTTTATTCGCTGGAATCTTCGTCGTCCGTCATCGTTAAGAATCAGGGAACATTGACATACACATAGAGCACACTGACGTTTCTGGTTGGGTCACCTCCCGCTCCTCCCCCTCCCTTCCCCTCCCTTCCCTCCCCTCCCCCTCCTACCCTGCCTCCTCTCTTCTTCTACGCTATGTTATTTATTGTATTGTAAGTTGGCCACTGTATTTGCCATGGTCCGTCGGTGAAACAGCATGCACATCTCATATGCATACATACGTACGTGTAACGTGAACACCATGCACATCTCATATGCATACATACGTACGTGTATACATGAACACACACACGCAAAGCTCGTATGCGTGATATTAGACGTGCGCGTATGGCGTAAGATGTGCGTGCGTTCACGGGTGTACATCTTCATTCCACCGTTGGTTCCACGCGCGGGGAACCCCTGTGTAGTTACCTCGCCCCCGTACATATCCTCCTTTCTAGATGGGAGATATGATGCCTTACGGCGCAGAGTGCCGCAGGGTATGTCTTCTCGTTGTCAGCGACCGCACGTTAGCATGCTGTATATATATATATAAGATATCAAAGTATATGAAAGAGTCGTTGATAATACGATATTACACGCTGCACGTGCCGGCGATCACTGACTTTAACCTGTATATTATTTCCGACAATGTAATCATATTCTATGTATGTATATTATATTTATTAATATAGTATATATTATTCCAATCTATCTGTATATATTCTGGTGAATATGATTTCTTACTAAAATATATTAAGCTATTGATATCACGTTTTCTCTTGGCGTTTTTACTTCTGTACGATATGCGTGAAGGAAAGCAAGACAGTGTGACAAGACAAGATTGCACTTCATCAAAGAAGATAATGAATATATACGAAAAAATAGATAGTACATCGCCTTTAGCTAAATAATGAAGTCCGTGTACGTTAAGATCACATGTGATGCATATATGATATAATAAGGAGTATAGTATAATATATATATTATGTCATTAAATGCCTATTTATGACAACTCCTGATATAAATTTTATAATAACCCATCAGATGTGCGTTAACATGAGCGTATTAATAATTGACAAATGTCATTATTACCCTCTGTTAACATCACTGTAACATCACACTATAAGCTCCATACCTATAGCTACAACCATATCACGTCCAGATAGTTGTCATATATACAATCAATATATCTTGACCAGTTCTAAGTCTCATAATAAAGACATTTATATAACATTCATATCATTAGTAGTGAATAATGAATTTTTGTTCTAGACTACTGTATTTATATTTAGACTGATGACATCCTGCTATGATCTCGTCCCCCACGATGAATGAACGCATGTGGCAGCACCGTCCAGTATCGACCACTGATCGATACGGGCACCGCGTACATACATGAAGGCGACGTTGGTGTTCTGCCGACAGAGGCGTGAGCGCGTTACAGGCGTCGTAGTGTTTGTTGGTGCTGCTGCTGACTTCTGCTTCGTGTGGTAGCGCTTGTGTGCCTTTCATCACCCTGTTAGCCGTGACGATGGCTGAAGGACCACGGTAAATTCATACCCGGAGATGCCTACATCTTCGTATTAACTATTATCATAGTCGTATGCGCGATCCGTAAACTGCTCTTGTTTGTCATCTTACGCGAGTTAATAGCCCTAGCAGACGAACTAAGTACAAACTGTAGATGCCATGCAGTGAAAACATCGTTGATACTGTGCACGTCAGCTGTTGCTATGGAAGTCCGTGGTAATGAGTGGTAGGGCAGAGTAGCGTTTACACCCCCATGTCGTGAGTTTGGTTAATGTGGGGGTACAGTCGTTAATGTGGGGGTACAATGTACAGCGGTCTTTTTGAGGTCTTGTCAACTCATTTCTAGCAAGAAAGGGGTCATTTGTTGTCGCAAAGGCGCGACACATAAATATATAGTCAATATATAGTCAATATATAGTCATAATAAATAAATAAAAATAAAAATAAATAAATTTATATTTATGTGTCAGTGTGCAGCAGCTAGCGTGCGGCGGCCAGCGTGTGACAGTGTGTTGGCAGATGACAGATTTGGACGCATTTACAGGAAATTCGGCAATAATAGGTGAAAGAGAGTAGAGAAACTTTGGTATAAATAGATTTCGTATTTATTTAGCATTATATTTATTGAAACGCTCCAAGTGCCTGCATGTGCTTATAGCTATTGCATTTGCAGTCGTGATAGTATGTATCATTTTTTAAGTAGACATGATAATTTACTGATTAAAAGTTGTAGTGGCAGATCAATCTAGTGGCTGGCTAGTCCGAGATCCTCTGATCCAAGTACCCACACCGACGATTTCTGGTGGTTCTTGGTGTGGTTAGGTGGACTTAACCCACGACCAAAACAACCAAAATCGGCGGTTGGGCTATTGTCAGAGGAATCTCGGACTAGTGGCTGGCCTGCGATCGACATGTAGTTAGTATAGGGTCGCTGACATGGTCATGCCGTGGTGGTTATTCAGCTACTCATCTGACACTATACTTCGTATATATGCGTTAGCTAAACATAATAGTGTGCGTCTAAGCATAATAACCTCGACTCAGTAATTGCCGTATTGGCATGCCCGTTTGTATTCCCATTTGTGTTGCTAGCAACTGCTTACACCAAGAGGCCGTATGCATTATTGAGGCAGAATTACCTGCCATGTAACAATGGAACCACCTGCACTAGGAAAGCACGCATTTCTTTGTAATGAAGCGTATTTCTGTCTACACACACATAGAGACTGCGAAATAGAATGATGTGAAAGCGAGGCTAACGCTCCATTAGGAGTGTTCCCAACCTTGACATCATTAATGATTAATGGTTAATGATTAAGATGAAATCCTAACGCCTCACCCTAACCTACACCATACACCTTAACCCGAACCTAAACCTATAACATAATCTTAACCGTTAATGACATTAAAGTTGGGAACACTCCTAATGGAGTATCACCTGAAAACGAGATCATTTTAGGCTCGCATCAATATTTGCGTGGTGGTGGGGGGAGGTGATAGATACTGCATGCATAGGCTCCCAAACCATAGAATATATAAGACACTATATTCTATAACTATATTATTTCTATGGTCCCAGCGCAAGAAATATTGCCTCTGAAGTATTATCCTAATATGTTGGTGTTTGTCAGTGTTGAATAGTGGTTTGTTGTTTACCATTTTGGCTTCTGGCTTCTTGTTTACCTTTTGGATTTTGGCTGTCTGAATTACAGGGACGTGCATCCATGACAGTGTGTAGGTAAATGAGCTGTTTTCTGAGTTTGGTTCCAGAGTCGCTTTCCAGAGAGAGCACGGAGCTGTGCTAAAATAAACCTTTCTAGGCAGTTCTGCGTGTTTTTCTATGAGACGTGAAGTCGAGTTTTACTCGGAAGCCGAGCCCGCGGTGTATTTTATCATCTACCGTATGTAGTTAGTGTAGAGTTACATTACTACTGGGCTTATCTGCTGCAGTGTTCTGTAGAGTCAACTCTGCAAAGAAGATGATATAGGGAGAGATAAGGAGGTTGCTGCTATAATCACATACACATCACAGGAACAAGACCACACAACAGTCACACCATGACGCTACCACGCACAAGACAGACACAGACTACCCACACAGACATACACACACAGTTTCGAGCGGCATGGCAGCACACGCTCGCGCGCACCAGCACATGCACACCGACCACCGCACA